TAGGGATCACTGCTTTATGATGTTTGTAGAATAAAGAAATTACCCCAAATAATACATTTCTCAGAAAGTATCCCCATCATTAAGCAGCAATTGACTATATGTTAGAATTTAAAAAAAAACAAAAACAAAAACAGCCACCTCATTATAAAGTCTTTGATGGGTCAAGAAATAAAAATTTAAACATAAGTTTACTGAAAACATACTCTTTAACCAGAGTTAAAACTGAGCAGTGCTACCGTATTAATAAAATAAGGCCCCTTGGCAATTGCAGTAACACCAAAAATAAATAAATGAGACACGATCAAGCTAAAAAGCTTCTGCACAGCTAAGGGTGCAACAAACAGCCTTCAGAATGGGAGAAGAATCTGCATACTACAAATCTGACAAAGGGCTGATAACTAGAATCTACAAGGAACGCAAATGAATCAATGAGAAAAGAGCAAACAATCCCATTTATCACTGAGCAAGAGACTTGACAGAAAATTCTCTGAAGAAAACATATGAAGAGCCAGCAAACATATGAAAAAATGCTCATCATCAGAGAAATGCAAATCAAAACCACCCCAAGATATTATCCAACCCCATTGAGAATAGCCCACATCACAAAATTCCAAGTATGCAGATGCTGGTGTGGATGTGGAGAGAACACTTTTGTACTGCTGGTGGGACTGCAAACTAATACAGCCTCAATGGAAAGAAGTATGGAGAATCCTCAAAGAGCTAAAAGTAAACCTTCCATTTGATCCCACAATCCCATTACTAGGTACCTACACAGCAAACAAATGTTCTTATTTTACCACAAGGACATTTGCATTAGAATATTTATTTTGCAGCTCAATTCACAATCACCTGAACATGTAATCAACCCAAGTGTTCGTCAACACATGAATGAATTAATAAACTGTTTTATATGTATACCATGGAATACTATTCAATCATAAAAAAGATGGAGACTTTCACCACACTTGGATGAAGTTGCAGCACATTCTTCTTAGTAAAGTATCACAAGAATGGAAAAGCAAATATCCAGTGTACCCAATACTAACACGAAACTAACAGATAAACAACTACAAACCCATTGCGGAGGAAAACATAACTAAATTCAAATGAAGGGAGGGAGGAAAGAATGGGGAGAGGAGGGAAAAGGCAAAGGGAAGAGGGCGGGCGAATAGTAAGCTCTCACCCAAGGTGCACAATGTAAGGATATACAGCCCACCTCTGGGGTGAAAGGGTCAACCACAACTTGAACTTCACATAAGAAATGTAATATAATCATTTGTACCCCCATATTAATCTAAAAAGAAAAAACTTAGTAGATATAGGTATATGCAGTACTTACAGTATGTTTAAAAGATTAAAAGATTTTATTAAATGATTACAATTAGGTGCTCAAAATCATGAATCCAAAAAAAGGGAATATTAATGAGCCTGAGGAGAGCAGAATAACAGAATATAAGAGATAAAACTACTGAACCAAGAAAAATAATAGAAAAAAATCCAAGAAAGACTGTTTGAAATCAAACAGATTAATCTCTACTAATCAAGTCTAATTAATAAAAAGAACATAAGAACAGATACAAATGTTCAACACAAAGTATGAAAACAGGAATATAATCATAAAGAGTTTAAAACTTTAACATGCAAATGATAACTGCATACAACTCTTCAGAAATAAATTTAACAATCCAAATAAAATAGATGTTTTTAAAAATATATATATAAATAACCAAAACTGACCAAAGTAGTACCAGAATTATGCTGAGTGAAAGAAGCCAGAATGAAAATATAGTGCATGATTCAATGTATATATAATTCTAGAATAGGCAAAATTTATCCATAGGTGGTTGCATAGGGCAGGAGCAGGGAGAAATGATTAGAGTACGAGAGAACTTTCAGGGTGATGGATACAATCTGTATTTTGATTGGGGTGGTGATTATCAGATATCTCTGTCAAAACTCTAGGAATCATATGCTTAAAATATGTGCATTTTATCATATGTAAAACATATCTCAATAAAGTTGAAAAAAGTTAAAAGGAATGTATGGAAAGATAATACCTCAATTTTTATTACAATATTTTTTCCTTACAGTGATCAACTCCAAAATGTCCACCAATGAGGAAACTGTAAGTACAACATGATTTGTACTGACATAAAAAGATATTTCAGGGCAGCACCTGTGGCTCAAAGGAGTAAGGCACTGGCCCCATATGCCGGAGGTGGTGGGTTCAAACCTAGCCCCAGACAAAAACTGCAAAAAAAAAGATATTCCTAACATTTTACTAAGAGAAAAAAAGGTGATTACAAAAAGCATAAGATGATAACAGTTTGTATTAACTCATAATGATTCCAATTTATATGCATGTATTCATAGAGAAAACATATAGAAGATAAATAAGTTATGGTTTTGAATGGTATAATTTAGGAGATATAATTTTTTTAGCCATTTTAAAATACAAAATACTACTTATAAATTAATATGTATTTTGAAAAATAAAAAATCAAAGTAATGACTACTTTTAATCAGCACACATTTTTACTA